AGCAGATGCATTCAGTATACCACTATAGATATTCCAGCTGCTGGTGATGTCTATAGAATATAGGCATACACCTCTTCATTTTGTAATGAATGTAGTTGTCACTGCAGCTCATTCATCCAATTTTGTTACCATGCTGTAATTTTGTTACAGAAACATCATACAGCATAGAACTTTACTAAGACTTAACCATATTTTACTCTGGGGTCTGTGTCATTGTATAAATTTTACAATATATATTCATTTTTCAGCCATTTTCACTACATTTATTCTGGCACCTGGTGCTTGCATCAAAATGATACCTCAGAAGGATGCTAATAGTAGCCTAGTATAAGATTTGTATATACACTATCTGGCTAGGTACAGTGGTTGTGTATATACGGAGGGATTATAACACCCCTTTGTAGTGTTGTGCGTTATTTTTGGCGGCCACTGTATATAGCTCAGGAAGCGGAATTTGCCCTTCGGTCCTTCCTTTCTCGCTTGGTTATAAAGACCCGTAAAAAGACTACTGTTATATGAGGCCTGAAGGCCTGAGTGCTTGTACTACGGTCAGAAATGAATTGTCCGTGTCAATACTCCCCAGGTAAATTCAAGACCTGAGGGCGCAAGGAGATTCACAGAACCGTGAACTCGGGAATATGTCGACATTGTTTTTGTTTTTGTCGAGGGCCAAGGCGTCTAGATGTCTTGGAACTCTCCATTTAGTCAGCATGTCTCTTCTGAACCACTGCTAAGCTCCTGACTGGGACTTTCAAGTTTTAACAAGTCGGCAGGTGAGTAGAGGGCTCGAGCTTAAACGCAACGCGCTTCTCTATACGGGTTGGCAAATCGCCTGTCACACAAGCTCATGCTTTGGTAGCATTTCTCGTTATGTGCTGTCGAGTCATCGTCTGGATGTCCAGGGCAACAGCGATCGTGCCCTTCCTGACACATATTCTGCTTGACCACCGCATTGTGCTCAGTGTGCCATACATTGCATGCAGAACATTAGTGTGCTGCGCCTACAGTAGGCTCATTGTTGACTACGCTGGTGAGATGCAGACGTTGGGCCTGCAGGCATGCGCGGCGAACGACTTGGAAAGTGCATGCCAAACTAGAGCGCATACTAGTGGGCGACCAGTGGGACTGTAAGGGAGACGGCTCAGACATCGGCTCACCATTTGTCAAAGATTTTCATATTGCACTATACTAGAATGTCTCAAGAAAGTAAAATACAATTTATTCCTGTAATACCAGGCTAGTCCATGTACGTCCAGTAGGAATGCATGAGAGAGGAAAGAGTGAGAAAGAGCTGTCTGTTTAAGGATTAAAGGATTAGAGTACAATTACAGCCACATGTGAATAACTTGCCCAGCTCAGTCGCTGCTCGGCTGCGTGCTGTACAGTGCATAGTCCGCTTGGCGCATGAGCACCAACCCGAGGGGCGCGAACACCTCTGGTTGGACCGCCGCGCCCTGCCTGCCCTCAGGTCCAGCGACACACACCTTGAGCTCGGTGCTGTCATGTGGAGCCGTGACCGTAGTCTTGAGGATGAGGTGCCCGAGCTGCCCATCTGGTTGCAGCTCTTGTAGCGCGAGCGCGGGCGCGTATTTGCCGAAGTCCCAATTACTGTCGCGGATTGTGAGGTTCGAGGTCGCATTCGGCACTGCGGCGGGGTACGACGACACAAGCGTGCTGTTGAGCGGGACGGCTGAGGTGATGTTAAAATGGAGGTGCGCGCTAGGGTCAAATGTGCCTGTCATGCATGGCACCGTCGCCGTGTTGTCCACCGTGTTGCCTGCCGCACTTGCATTTGCGGAGAGCGTGCAGTTTCCGTCAATGGTGAGCTGGTAAAAATTGTAGTGCACAGCCTGCAGCGTAGGGTAGAAGTCGAGGGGGATGGACGATTGGGCCGTGTCCCAAGAGCGCAGGCTGAAGCGCCAATTGTCCCCGCCGTCTGTGTTCGCGATCTCATAGGTAAAGAGTTGGGTCGGTGACCCTGCAGAGGGCTGGTTCATGAAGAAGTAAGCAACGTTCACGGTGTAGCTTGGGTCATTGTACGACCGGGCGTCCAAGATGGCGAAGGCAGGGAATGAATCACAGTAATGATCCCAGGCATACTAAAGATAGTAGTCAGCTCACAGTGCCGTAGACCTGGAGGGAGTCAACACACCTTCTGCATAATTGGCACGACGATCCATCCGCCAAAGAAGGGCATAATAACTGAAAAGGCCAGTACGGGGGCGGCGATGAACAGACTGAATAGTGTAACCAAGAGATTTCCCGAGCCGGACCGGCGCCAGCCGTCGCCGCATGCCCAGCACAGGTAGCCATATGCCCATATGCCGTTGAAGCAGCTTAAGAAAAAGCCAAAGATGAACATCATAGCCGTAAAGCCTTCGAAGGCGGACGCGGAGCGGTCTGTGGCATTGTACGGGACAGGGTTTATTGAGTCTTGAACGTAGTAGTAGATCCACCAAGCGTCGGCGACGCAGGCTGCTGCCCAGACCTAGAGGTAGAGGTTGGGCATCAGCCCACTTTTCGGTGTCGAAATATACTTACAGCAAATATGAGAGGGTAGCAGGACTGATTGCTCATGCCCATCTGAAGGTACGTTTCGCAGTGTAGATGAGCACTCGGTTGAGGAGAGGTCAGGTTATATGATACGCTCCTGGGCAGCAGTTTTGAGGATTAAATACCGCAGGCTCCTCAACTACGAGTACGTTTGTCAGGTATGATACGGCCTGCTGGCTGTACACGCCGAGTGCAGAACTGCCGCCAATTCAGTTGGGTGGTATTCTGCGCCCCCAGGTCCGAGCCTTATCAGCCATATATGGTCCTGAAATGGCAAGTGCCACAGGAAGTCCAGGCGGGGCGGGGCAGTAATCTGCGATCTGGGGGGTACCGTCTGGCCGTGAAGGGCGGAGATGAGGAAACGCAGCAGTCATCCAGGCACCAAGTGCACCGGTTGCGCTCATAGTCGCCCGTCATGACAGTGATGGCGGACGCACAGGTTCGACAGTCATAGGACTAAGGCGATAACAATATGAATGATGTGCCAGGGACTGTGACTGGGATAGAGCTGAGGCGGAGCATCCTGAGTGGACCGCATGTGCCTCAAGTCAAAGCTGTCGGATCGAGTCAGCTCGGGAATGTGCTCGAAGGGTCTAACCCTGCCGACCTACCACGACTCTGGCAAGAGAACACAGATCGCTGAGATTATCGGAAGAAGTAGAGATTACAATACGTTGGTATTGCGATAATGTTAACGGGCTGTAAGCAAACACGTCTCCCAGCATTCGTGGCACTCCCTACCAGCAAAACCAAATACAACCCCAAGGAGGCGGTGCGCGAGGTCTCCGCGGCAAATCGTGTAAAACGGTCATTCCTGGAGGCATCCCGGTATCTGCTCAGAGCTACGAGCATTGCAAGCTGAACTCGAGCTTGAAGTTATCGCTTGCGTCTCATTATTCGCTAGCTCCAGTGGTGATAAATTGATTGTAACCTTGTACACTCCTACGACGTGGCCTGTTAAGGAGCTCAAGCAGTGAAGAGAACGGATATAGGATATACCCAGCCGTGTTGGCAACGGGCGTTACCGCTACAGTGCTGACCTCACGTGCTCTATTCGCGTCTTACGTAAGCAGCGTCAAGTACCGGGCACCGTGCCTTGCGGTCAGCTTCCAGCACTACCGCGTCGCCGTGCATCCTCGGGCTTGAGTCCAGGCCCAGGACTCGTGGACAAGGCTCTTTCTCTGAGTGCCTGTAAGTCTGAGTATACTCCCCGTGGTAGTCTCGGATTGGGAGTTGTAACAACTTATTGCGTAGTACGTCGCACTCGACTCCGAGTACGGAAACACGCCCTCCGAGCTTCATTCACCGCTTTCCCCGAATAAACCTGGCCTTGATTGCCGCAAGAATTCACAAACAGTCATTACTAGCTGGCGTCCCCCGTACACATCACCCGATCATGCCACCCTCGCGAGCATTCGCCTGCATCGCGAACGTCTCCTTCCCCGCCGAAGCACGCGCTCTACCCTCTTCATGGTGTCCGGACAAAGATCTCTTGGCTCTAATAACAAACGTAGCAGGCAAGGATCGCCTTAGTCTTTGGAAGATGCAAGGAACAAAGATATGGGAAGTGGACGTGCACTCTGACGTTGTGGAAGGCTCAACGCGGAGCAGGATAGTGGATATCTCTTGGAGTCCAGACAGTCAGTCCTTCCCTCTACAGACATGCAGCAGACTATTGTCTGAGCTAAACTCAGCGGTGGCCTTATAGACTTGCACATAGCGGCGGCGCATCATCCGCCTCTCGTTACCTTGCATTCGATTCAAGACGGTCGAGAAGAGAGAAAACTTGATGTTACGAAGTCCATACCGGGAAATTCGCAGGAGTTGACGCATATATGGTGGTATAAGGAGCACCGCAAAGAGACAAAACCAGGCATCCCAGATATATTCAAACGTCAGGACATTATCGTGAGTCTGGTCATCTATGTTCGTGATCATGCGGCGTAACCAAGCTCCAGACAGGCTCTGCCCACTCCATTCTGAAAACGCAACCACTGCTCGATGCACTACCTGACGACTCTGACCGCCTGTCGTAAGTAGTGTCATTGCTTGCTGAAGGCAGTCATTCATAAGTCTACCAGCTCAGCAGACCTCTTCGCCTTCTCTCGTACACGAACGGCCACGCCGGCTTCCGATTCTCTTCCGCAGAGCATATCTTCCTGGCCCACCCTTCCTCAGGATCTCCTTCTGGCGTCTATCCAACCTAGATCCACGGCCTCGAAAAACAATAAACGCCCTGGTGAAGAGCTCGACGAAGTTGATAGCAGCAACATCAACAGCATCCTCTATGTTTGCACGGTCTCTTCCGGTGCACAGCGGGACGACGGTGAATGCAGAATCTATGCATGGCTCGACGGGAGCTATCCTCTTGGCTCAATACTTCTACCGCACCCGGTACACTCCATCAACCAGCTGAATAAGATGGACAACATGACCTACTTTATCCATCCTTCTCTGTTGGCGCCCTCCTCGGGATATCGTGCAACAACGCTGCACCCCTTGCGGCTTTCGCTGCCGTCCATGGCTGCACCGCTACCGCGGCGCGTCGCGCAGACCGCATCAAGCACGCGTGCGCTCACGTGGTACATCCTGCGTGTTGTGAAAGAGCTGCGCGATGCGTGGTTTGGCACATCTGCGAACCCTGGTGCACGGATGGTGGGCCAGAACTGGGTGCAAGGGCTGGAGCGGCGGCAGCGGTCACAATTTGGCTGTAGGTGCCTGTAGCGCTTTTGCAGTGCGGTAGTTAACGATGTTTTCTGAATAGTGGAAGAGCCAAATGGTCTGCTGGACCTCACTGTTCTCCTCGCCACTGGGAGAGCAAGCGAAAGTGTGAGCGACTATCTAGGAAGCGGTGAACAGATGTCCGAACGGGTACGCAACCATCTTCTCTGAAAAATAAAAATTGCGGAGCCTTACATGTTCTTCGACGTTCAGGGCCTACAGAAATGGGAAAACACTGTGGTGGACGCGCTTTTCAAGTTTCGCGACTACGCAAACCGCCGCGTCGCACGAGCATTCCAACGCATGCACATATTGCTCCAGGAGGTGCAGGGATGGGTACAGCTGTAAGTATCATTTATGACCTTCCTCAACGCGAAGTGTTTGTACGTTCAAACTATTTACTGACTTCATGCACCTGTTCTTTCAGACCGCAGTATGCGTACTGCCAGATCGACATTGAACAGGTAAACGCCTCATTGGACCTCGCCGCGCGCGGAATCATCTGTGCGACATGGCTCGCGTCGACCGCGCGGCTCGAGCTACGCCGCTTCCGGGAGTTTATGGCTTGGATAAAGTATGGTGAGTGCGCTGGTTTCCGCCAAATTTCGTGTAGACTTAGCAAATGCTTAGAGAGCAACCGCGCAACAAACCTGCACAACGATACATATACCCCGCCGCCGCCAAAGCATGACATCCTCGACGTCTCGGCCTACCTGGAGCGCGGGCTCGTCGCTAGCACACTCGACCGCTGGTTCCTCGGCCCCACACCAAAATTTCCTCTAAAGCCTAGTTTTGGTCTGATGAAGGACCTGCCCGTCCAGAAGATTCCTATATTCACTCGTGCTTTGCAGGGAGAACGAGAACGAGCACCAGAGATATTTAGGGAAGACGTCGAAGTTGCTAAAGGGGTGACCAGCGGGAAAAAACAATGCTTGGACGAGGTTCTCAGGAAGGCGAGGCAGAAGCTTGGAGAGGAAAGAAATGGTCTGACATGGCCACCGGTGCGTATCGCTCCGCACACGACATAGATAGCGCTGACCATAGTGGCACCATATACAGGACACGCTCCCACCAGACCTCTCCTCTCTCGATCGTAACCTCGATGCGCTTGCGGTCGAGCTCGCGCAACGCTGCAGTAATATCTTCCAGGCTGCTAGCTGCGCTGTTACGCGTGCTGCCGAACTCTCTCCTGTGCCAGAGGAGATTGAAGAAGTTGATGAGACGCGCAGGCCGAAGTGGCTCAGAGAGCGGACGAGGCTCCGTTTGCAGGTAACTTACTCCCGATGTCATCTCGGGCGAGTGGGGAGCTCATGCAACAGGGTAGGGCCCAGACCTATTGCTACAGCTCTGGGCGGCGTTCGTTCCGCCAGCCGAGAACCAGATTGGCTACCGTATGTCCAGTTTTTACACGCCGAAGCCTCCGCTGACGAGCTCGGATTCCATAGTATGCCTGTTCAAAACAGTCTACGACTCCAAATCGAGCCGGAAGACCACCTTCGCCGTCATGACTTGCGAGGTGGAGGACGAGGACGGCGCGGTGACGCCTGTCGAGTTGCTCGACGCTGAGTATTTCGACGACGCGCATATCGTGGCCGTTTTCCGTTCGCGGATCGCAGCAAATGCCGAGTCGACGCTTGCGATGGTACGCTTCATCGCCGTCAAGTTTTATGAGATCCAGGAGGCCCAGACAAAGGAAGTCAGTACGCGCGAGGCGCTCATCGACAGAGTGCTGCGGTTGGCCCAAAGTGGTGCGGTACGTGATAACGTGCACATCTTTCTCGGAGAATGCCTGATTTCCGGTCTTCAACAGATGCCCTCGACCCCGCTTAGGGTAGTACGGTCACGCACACTCGCAGGCTGCGTGAAGGGTAGTGTCGCACTGGCCGCGAATGGCAGGAAGGGCCGGCGCGTGGTGTGCGTGCTGGGCGAAGACGGCACTGCGCTACAAGTGTTTGATATGGAAGGTGAAGAGGACGAGGGTGAAGAGGACGAAGAGGCAGAAGCGGTGTCCGACGTTGCTGAAGGCGAGGATGCGGAGTAGGGCTGTGAGCTCATTTCGAGTAATTCCGCTCTTTAATACGCATTACTCAATATTTAGGTAGGACGGAGAGCACTTTTAACAGTGCATGATATTGGACTCGTGATGTTATTGACCTCAGTTGCATGTTTTATTGAGCAGTCGCATCATCTGACTTCTCAGCATGTTGTTAATCCAGCAGATTTTATGCACGGGATCGCTTGCAGAGGCTATTTCTCGACGATCTCACCCAGGCTCTCTATGCCTACCGACCTAACTATCATCCGACCTGAATTAGCCTTGTCCAGAAGATAGCGAGGAAAATGATATACGCGCATCCTTCTCACTATGATCCTAGGACGAAGCCGCTTCAGGCACTTCGGGAACGGCAAACCAAACCTTGGCTTCATCGTCTGAAAGACATACTATGAATGACTCACAGGCGCAGGCATATAAGACACCAAAGCGTTTAAATCTCGAGTATCGGCGATGGCGACTTTGGCAGAGGGACAAGGTTAGTGGTACAACGCTGTGTATTAAACATTCGCGTCGTTGGAACGCTGAGCCTCAATACGGTACACATGACGTTCAGGAAAGCTCACGATACATGCCAATGGCGGCGCTGGTTCGCCAAAGCTCATTTAACTGCATCAATTCCGGTTTCGGCTGAAGATTAGCTCCCAATTGTTCTTAGTCTGCAGCGGAAGGCAGTGGATTTGATTGATATTGTTCTCGGCATTTCTTTCATTTTTTGTCATGCATCAGGGGTATTCGAATTTGCGTTTGCGTCATGCAGGCACGAGGCTCGTTCAATAGGGTGAAAATGTCATAGCCTACACTATATTACTATATTACTATATTACTATTACTATATTATTATGCAGATGCCCTCAAAGTAAGAAACGATTTTCTTATCCCTGTCTTACTCGCTCCAGGCCTCTCCCATCCTAGTCTCGGTTCCAGACATTCCGGCCCCGTTATCAATACTATAAGCCATATAACAAACGGAGTTTGAATTGGCGTGCAGAGACGGTGCCGGAAGATGTTCTGCAGCTCAATTGATAACAACTCGTTGACAGGTATTCATTCCCTTCCTTACTACGACTACTTAACATTACTTACTGACCGCACTGCGTGCGGTCTCTGCGAACACCTTCCAGAAGAGAGGGAACGAGACTACTCCTATCCCTCGTCTTATATACCTTTTGATCGCCCCTATTTCGTCATTCTCCTTGGTTGGTCTCCTTTGCTTACGCCGCGCGCAGCGCGCCTATGCTGTAAGCCTACAGTGGCCGCCAAAAATAACGCACAACACTACAAAGGGGTGTTATAATCCCTCCGTATATACACAACCACTGTACCTAGCCAGATAGTGTATATACAAATCTTATACTAGGCTACTATTAGCATCCTTCTGAGGTATCATTTTGATGCAAGCACCAGGTGCCAGAATAAATGTAGTGAAAATGGCTGAAAAATGAATATATATTGTAAAATTTATACAATGACACAGACCCCAGAGTAAAATATGGTTAAGTCTTAGTAAAGTTCTATGCTGTATGATGTTTCTGTAACAAAATTACAGCATGGTAACAAAATTGGATGAATGAGCTGTGGAGACAGTTACATTGGTATTGTTTTACCAAGAAAATATGTATATCTATATCTCCACAGTACTCAGGAATAGAGACACAAAATTTGCTGTACAGAATAATTTTTACTAGCAGATGCATTCAGTATACCACTATAGATATTCCAGCTGCTGGTGATGTCTATAGAATATAGGCATACACCTCTTCATTTTGTAATGAATGTAGTTGTCACTGCAGCTCATTCATCCAATTTTGTTACCATGCTGTAATTTTGTTACAGAAACATCATACAGCATAGAACTTTACTAAGACTTAACCATATTTTACTCTGGGGTCTGTGTCATTGTATAAATTTTACAATATATATTCATTTTTCAGCCATTTTCACTACATTTATTCTGGCACCTGGTGCTTGCATCAAAATGATACCTCAGAAGGATGCTAATAGTAGCCTAGTATAAGATTTGTATATACACTATCTGGCTAGGTACAGTGGTTGTGTATATAC